CCATCACCAGCAACTGCTCCCTTCCTCCTCTTCACTCACTACCACATTGTTAGATCTTTGCCTTTTCCCCAAATTACAATCACCGGCACCGCACCCAAAAGGGCCCCCTTCCTCCACCAACCACATCCACATGTTAGACAAAATTTCTCTTAAGATATGAGGCCTCTGATTCGACAAATTGACCACCAAGATCTTTTATAATTCAGTCCTCTTCATATAACATACTCTCTCTCTCTCGCACACACACACACATAAAGCCACTAACTCCCTCATAGTGTACTTTTTATAAGAATGTCAAATAATGGGTACAATTTCTATATATATGTATATATATACATTTATATTGTTGAAGTATAAGTAGTTAAGTTACACCCTCTCCAATAGTTTAAGGTTTTGGAATAGATGGTTGTTTAACATGGTCTCAGTGTAAGAGGTCCTGTGTTCGTGTTAGGCCTGAATTTTAGTTTGCACACAAGGGGACGTGTTGAAGCATAAATACTTAATACGCACTTTTCAACAGCTTAAACTTTTTGAGTAGATGGTTATTTAATATATATAATAAAGCAGAACAAATTTTGAATTCTCAATTTATCTCAAGCTATTTCATCTCAAATTAATTCTGAATCAAGGAATTAAATTTCGTTTCAAAACGTCCAAAACGTTTCAATTTTCATGGAGACCAAAACGAATAATTGATTGAATATCAAAATTTCTATATTTCAAAATATTTCGAAGTGTTTTTAAGTAGGTTTCGAGGTGTTTCGACATGTTTCAAAATGTTTCGGTATATTTCAACTAATGTTTTAAAAATAAATTTTTTAATTTTTATTTATTTCCATCTTGTTTCCGTTTTCAAGCTCATTGAAATTGTGCTGAAACAAAATTTTGATCCTTATTCTGAATAAATTAAGGTTAAATTTTACGGATTACATTATTCTAACTTTTCTCAAGGTATTGACGTTTCAGATCATTTTATAATTATTGATCCAATGAACCAGATTAACTACCAAAATTTTTATCATGCCCAAAATTCTCTTTTTTTGAATCCCCTCAATGTCTCTCATTATCTGTCAGGTCCTCACTCATCCTCTTTCCTTCCTCAGTTTCTCAATCTTCTTTGCTTATCTTTCTCACCCACCCCTCTCTGTTCTCCTCTCCCTCACCTATTTCTTCTCTATTTTGCGTCGACAACAACACATTTACTCCACCCTTTCACCTCTCCCACATCTCTCTCTTCTATCTCTTTTCATTGTCTGCATCAACCCAGCCGCACAACATCACCAACATTCAAGACGCCACTGACTCGTCATCGCCGACGTGTTGCTCTTCCTCCCCGGTGACCACCAATATCCAGTAACCCAGCGAAGAACCCACATCCACCGACATGGCCCCTTCATACCACCATTCGCCATCGACATTTGCCACTCCCACATACACAATCATTGAAGATAATACCATGTTATTCGTAGATTTGAGATCAAGGTATATCCATCAAAGAGGCATGGTTTGATTGGAGCCGAGTTTCAATGTCGCACAACATCATAGTCTTGCCCTTACAACTCCGCCCACCAAAAACCCCCATCCATTCAAAAACCAAATCCAATCATGGTGACCACCACAATCGAGCTATCACACCACAGGCCACCGTCAAGAGCCCATTAGCAATTGATTAGGTTTGTGCCTATTTATGCTATTGTGCTTTGAATTTCAGTGTTTGTTTGACTGATTTGTGTTATGCTTGGCACTGTTATGTGTAGCTGCATCAACTGTAGTATCTACGGTGAGTACCTCACTTCAAGCTCCAAATTCCTCATTGCCAACTTCAATTAAGGTTAGCTTGTATATCCAATTCTTAAAGTTGGTTTAGAAGGTTGTTTTTTTTTGGGGGGGGAGGTCGGTTTTAATCAATTTTACATACTTTTCATGACTAAATATGATTGTTAAACAAGTTCAGTGACTGTTCTAAATATGTTTACCACATTTAGCATAATTCTTTATATTCATAACGTAGTTATTATACCAAGGGGTCTTTGGTTAAATGATACTCCTTACTTTGTGAAGGTTTTGCCTTCTTTAGGTCAAGGGTTCAAATCCCCCCTCCCCCTACTCTAAAACAAAAAAAAAAAAAAAAAAACGTAGTTATTGTCAGTGTAAGTACTTTTGTCTAAATCTAATATTGTATGAGGCTTGATAGACCTTTGCTTCAAGTGCGGGGATTCAAAGTACGAGCGTAAGATGTTTGACAAAATGCATGTGAGGAATGTAGTTAAATGTGAAACATGATATTTAAATGAAAATTGATCAAGATTTACTTTGAATGCGGATAAGAAGGCATTGTGGAAGCATAATGTGTATGGATTGACTCCTACTATTGGATTTGCCCACCATAACTAGTATATATAACTTGACTATCCCTCAACGTTCTTTGAATGCGGGTAAGAAGGCATTGTGGAAGCATAATGTGTATGGATTGACTCCTACTATTGGATCTGCCCACCATAACTAGTATATATAACTTGACTATCCCTCAACGTTCTTTGAATGCGGGTAAGAAGGCATTGTGGAAGCATAATGTGTATGGATTGACTCCTACTATTGGATCTGCCCACCATAACTATTATATATAACTTGACTATTCCTCAACGTTGTCTGCACTGTTTTTTGCTGTTGCACAAATTTAATACAGGGTGTCATGTTACTACAGTTGTTTTGTAGACAACAAAATGATTTTAAATTCCTGGTTGAAATAATGAAACTTGTAAAGAATAATGATCTATCCCTGCAGCCTGGTACAACATATATTGTTTCCTGGTAATCAATTATGATGCATTGTGCTTTTATTTTCGGCTTTAACTTTACTGGAATAATCATGTTAGTCTTGGACGGGCATGGTTGCGGGGATTTGGCCTAATTATGTGACTAAAGGAAACAACTTTGGTTCAATTTCACCACGAAGGTCTCTTTTTTGGTTTTTATGATGATAAAGGTATACTTTGACTGTTGTTATTGTTTAATTTGTTTGTAGTTTCCAAATGATCCCATCTATCAACAAATTAATCCAGGTCATGACCAGTGGAGCATCTTTTAATGTATGTTGTGGTTTGATAGTGAACCAAACTCAACAAAACTATAGATCAGCAGGTTGTATTTTTTGTCAGGACTGAAACTGACCAACCCAACATCTCATGTGTAATTAAATTAATTAGAACCTTGCAATCTTATAACTAAAACAAATGATTATTTTTTAATGAGTAAATTGTCGGCATCACTAACACCGCCACTATTATCATAATCATCCTTATATGTTCTTCACTACAAGTTGGGGTTGGCAACTCATTTTGATGCCTTTCATAATGTAAGGAACTCTGTTCTATTTTTTAATATATCTTTTAAGAATTTTATAGTTTTATTACATAGGGATTCAAATAATGAGAAAGTTGGCTTTTATTGCCATTTCTTTAGGGCCAAATAGAGGATAGGCTTTTCTCAAATCAAAAAATATTCCAGTATGGGAAAAATGTGGTGGTTTGGTTGATCTTTATACTGGATTTTCGTCATCTTTCTTACTAACCGGTTTGTTGGGTCATCTCTTCGAAAGTACTTAGTATTAGTAGTTCTTAATTGACAACCATGAAATGTGGCTAAGTTTTTTTTTTTTTTTTTAAGAGACTAGACCCATTTTATTGGATAATAAGTGGAGTACATTTTCTTCACGGAAGCTGTCACGAGACAACTAGTTCGAGTTAGCGAAAGTAAGTAAAAATTAAAGATTTTGACAACATCTTGTTTTGTGGTGTTTTTTTTTTTTTGGCATTACCATATCTTGATGGTATTTGTTTTGTGGGTTGAATTGAGGTGTACCAAGTTGGGCTAGAATCACCAGCAGTGAAATTGAAAGAACGAAATGAACGACTGTTGCACTTATATAGGTATGTCTTGATCTTTTTATTTTTTTTGCTTCCTTATTACTTTCTATATATTCGTTCTAGGAGTTTGACGTGATTTAGTTGTCTCCTAATTAGAAAGTTTCTAATTAATGATTTATTTTATGTTATAGAGTGTCTTTAGGCATGGGCATTAGATAGTGTATCTATACATGCATGGGTATTTGTAGAGCTAAATTTAATTGAAGAAATTTGACAGATAATTTGGTTGGTTTTTGGGGTTTTGAATTTTATTGAACGGATTCAGTTTGAACTTTTGTTTTATCTTCCCTACTTTAGACTGTTTTCTCTATGAATTATGCACAATTCACACGCTTTTGCTTTGTATTATATTTATCTAATTTATGAAAAGAGTTTATTTCTAATTTGTTGTGAACTTGGGATGTGACTAGAGCTGTCAATTTTCGACACGAACCAAACCGAACACAAAACTAATGGGTCAGACACAAAATTGAACGAGTTAATGGGTTAAAACGGGACAACACGCTTAAACACGAAACAATTCATGTCTGGTTCATGTCAAAATTAGGTTAACTCGATTTTAACTTGATTAACCTGTATATTTTAAACGGGTTAAAAGATTCGAATACAAACCTGACCTAACCCATTGTAGATCCGGCTAAACCGTTTATGTCAGTATAGTTTACCTATTATGTATGACTAATTTGGTCTTACCATTATTACTTATTAGTTCTTGCTCCTACTATAATAATTGACAATATAATTTTTAACATTATTATGACAGTATACTAATATAGTTCTTGCTTTAATTTATGGGTTTAAAACTTAAATGCATTTTAGTTAATCTCATTGATGAAAAAATTATTTATAACAAAATTATTTGAAATTTTGGATGAATGATTGAATGATATATTTAATAGTAATGAACTGGTGTAGAAACAAGTTATGTGTGCTAAACAAGTTAAATAGATCATATTATGTGTGTTAACTCGACAACGACCTGTTTATTAAATGTGTCAAACAGGTCGGGTTCGGGTAATCCGTTTAATGGCTAGATCAGATTAGTGTTTACACATTTTAACACGATTATTAAATATGTCAGATTTGAATTTTGATATTTTCAACACAAATTCAAAATCAACCCGACACGAAATGACTCAATCCGACACGTTTGATACTCTTAGCTGTGACAGACTATTGGTGCTTACATCAAGCCGAGGTATTGTTTATGTTGCAAGCTCCAATAAAATGGTTAGCTCTAAAAAAAATGCTTTTATTGTTCAAGTTTGGGAAGGTCATTTTCTCTATTCCATCTATATAGATTTTTTTGTGTGTGTGTGTAGGGAAGGGGTCATTGCTGCATTGAGTTATTTGTTATTTCTATATTTTTTATTTTTTGGATTTCCAAGTTTTAGATGAAAGACAGTGGTTAAGGGTTGCAATTTTACCATTTGCTATGACCTTTTGGGACCAATCATTGAAAGAGTGGGGAAGAGCTTAAACAGATGAAAGAGAGCTTTCATTCCTAAAAGGGGTAGGCTAACATTAATGCAATCAGTTTTACCAAGTATTTCTACTTTTTTCTTATCTCTTTTCAAAATGCCAAATAAAGTTGCTCAGAAGATTGAAAAAATAATGAGAGATATTCTATGGAAAAGAATGGGCGAAGGAAAGAAGACCATTTGGTAAGTTAGGAGGTGGTTTCTAGATGTAAGGAAAAAAAGGGTATTGGAATGGGCAATCTGAAGGCAAGAAATGTGGCGCAAATGGACAAATGGCTTTGGAGATTTCCATTGGAACAAGGTTCTCTATGGCATTCAGTTATCAAGAGCAAATATGAATTACATGTCAATGGTTGAGATACTAATGGGATGGAAAGAGAGTTTTTGATGCCCCTAAAAATTCATTTCTCATGGATTACCTCAGTTTTCTCTTAATGTACGATTCCTCGTGGGTAATGGGGGAAAAATTCGATTTTGGGAGAATATTTAGTTAGGGGAGTCTTATTTGTCATGTTTGTTTCCTTGACTGTATCAGTTATCTCAAACTCACAATGTGTCTATCATCTCTATGACACAATCGAGTTCTCGTTCATTATCTTGAAATTTTGAATTTGAATGATAGTGATATGATGCTTCTTCTTTCTTTACTTGATAACATCCGCATTAACCATGACTCTTTTGATAACAGGAAGTGGGTGCTCGAGTCTTTGGCTATGTTTTCTAGCAAGTTCTTTTTGAGTTCCAAATTGATGATTCACATGTTTCCATTTTCTCTCCCTTATTAATGATATAGAAGACTAAGGTGCCTACTGCCTAGTAAGGTGAAGGCTTGTGCATGAACAATTGGGTATGGCAAAATTAATAATAATGATATGCTTCAAAGGAGAAAACATCAAACTTGTCTTTCTTTGCATTGGTGTGCTATGTGTTGTGGTGATTGTGAAAGTATTAATCATTTGTTCTTGCATTGCCCTATTGTTTTATATTCGTGGAATAAGTTGTTTTTATTGGCAGGTTTGAGTTAGGTTCGCCCATGGTCTTTTTATACTTTATTTGTGGAGGACTTTAAAAGATTTGGACATCAATCTAAAGGAGTTACACTTTGAAATTGTGTGATCCTTGCTCTGGTTTGGGTTATTTAGTTGGAGAGAAATGCTCGGAACTTTGAAGATCGAAGGGAGAGCGATGATGGTCTATGGAACAGTATTTTTTTTTGGCTTCGTTTTGGACATCAGTCACAAAAGATTCTTAAGGAATTCCACTTTCTTTGTTTTTTGGCGGGATTTTGGCTAGTTTGTGATTTATAGTAGTTGGACCTCACATGAGTAGTCCTTTAATTTTTGTTTTGCGTCTTGTCACTTGAGGGTTGGACAAGTCCAACTTCTCTTCTTATGATGTAATTTTTTTGTGTTTTTATGAATATAATAATGGTTTCTCATAAATCAAAAAAAGGGTTGCAATTTTACCATTAGACATGATAATTTTGTCCTATTTTCTATAGTTAAAGTTTTGAAGTTAATGAGTTTGCAATTTTGGTTTCATGAATTGGACTCTTTTCAAAATTCAATTAAGCTCCCACCCCAAGATTTCTGAACAATTTTTTCAAATCAATTGCACCTCTGTTTTCTTTGTTTCTCTTTGCTAACATAGTTAACCTTATATATATGATATTCGTTACACTCAAATGCTTACAATTATCCAAATGTTGAATCTAAACTTAAGTATCTATCACCTGTGTAGACTTCGAAATTCGAATCACTCCCAAGTTCGAATTCAGGATTGCAAACACAATATTCACATACTCTTAAAGGATAGATGAAATAGGTAGTGGCTTAAACAAACCTAAGTATGCAACTGTTCTGAGCAAATTGCCCTAGGACCATATGGATGGGTTTCTAAATTGTGATGCCGTTGCCTCTAATAGAAACTTCACAAGGTTTTCTCTCTCAATTTCTTTCTCCTTCTTGAGCTCAAGATGACGGACCTGGACATGGAACCAATCAATTAGCATCACATCTCGCAAGGACCAGACAAGTGCAGTTACAACAATTGAGCTGAAAAGGCAAAACAATCAAATTCATAATTTAATTCTGAATAGTATAGTTCAACAGCAGTTTCTCAAACTCTCACTTGAAATCCAAGATTTGTGTCAACAGTCAACAGATGATCAGGAACCTTGGATATATACCATTCATATCCAACGACAAGATTTGTTCACTTCTTAAAGGAGAGTGGCATGGTGAATTTTATCACAGGACCTGGTAAAAAGTTATTTCCCAACATACTCAAGAATATATAATGCGATACAGGAAAGACAAATCTACCAGAACCTGGAATATTATGTCCCACTGGTGGAAATTAGTCAAAAATGTTCACATTCTAGAATGATGTTGCCATGGCACTCCTTTTTGCATGTTCTTTTGTTTACATCATCCAGAAATTTATTGCATTTGGCACCATGTTCAGCATCACCGCATTGCGAAGGTCACTATATAGTAAATTTTGCCTGCCTAAAATCAATGCTTTAAACGATTCTGACACTTCCATTTATTACATTTTGCACCATATTCAGCATCACCATAACGTGAAAATCATTACAAAGTGAATCTTTACTCTGGGAAATCAATGCACCAAATGATTCAGATAGAAATAGTCCGTGTAGAGCTTTTGAGATAAACAATCGAAAAGGTAAACAAGTCTCTTTGCAGAATCTTGTCATTACATCTGGGTCGTAGGTGAGTTATAACTACAAATGCAAAAAACAAATCTCTAAATAATAGTTTAACTCGACTCAACTCAACAAAGTCTTATCCCAACATTTTTGTGGTTGGCTACATGAATCCTATTTCTACATTGTGTTTATCAAGGGCTATACTTTCTATTAAATCACAAGCTATTCAGACTTTTTTCACTATTCCATTTAAAGATAGTTTTGGTCTTCCTCTACCCTTTTGATTACCGTCAATAGGTAAATAATAAACAAATGGAGAAAGACACATATGCCAATTCCAGGTAGTTGACTAATTCCATGACAAGAATTTTTCAGCATCTCAAGAGTATCATATACTTTTTCTCCAAGTTGACAGTACCCACCCCAATGTTTTCATGATTTTATTGTTAAGGTAGTTTTTTTGTCATAGTTACTCTACTGTTAAGGTACTGAAAACTTGAGATGCCCAAACCAAATTCACTGGAGGAAAAAATCTGATATCTGAGTCTCTTTCTTTTTAGGAAAGTGTAATATGAAGATCAAGGAGATAATGCAGAATTAGACTTCAGAAAGATATGACGATAATGGAGATCAATATGATGCGCTAATTTTCTCATAGAAATCACAAACACCTTTAGATGGGAATTATAGTGAAGCTTCTTTTTTTTATTATTTGAAGAGAGAGGAAGGGGGGCATAAGCAAAGTTAAATTAGAAAACTTACAATTGACAAAATCAAATCAGAGCCAAAATTAAATTCCGTTGTAAACTGCCTTACCTTAACTGAACCTTTTTGAGACACACCAGCGTCAGTAATGATGACGAGACATTTAATATCATGCTCATTTGCATATTCATACTGTTCCGTAAGGCTAGGATCCGACGTGGGGACGAACTCAGCCTGATAAATGAGCATTCAGTAAGTTTTTTGAATGTTTACCACTCAAATTTTTCTCCCCAAATTCCTTCAAAATAGATAATGAACCTTGATATTCTCCACCCATAGCTCAGCAACTAATTTCATGCGCTCCTCCAATAGACCACCTCCTCCTCTTGAACAAATAAGGACATTAATGCTAACATCATTTCTGCATTAATCAGGAGAGTAGCTATAGCGTTAGTCAGGAGAGGTAATATTAGGAAAATTATTTAAATGGGTTATATCTGAAGGATTTTTCAGCCTGGTAAAAATGACAGAATAAGGCACCTCAAAGGTTTAATATCCACAGAGGAGTGTTGGATTATCGTCTCTAGAGCAAGGCTAGTCCCAACGGCACCTGGAGGATTTGATTTCTGGCAAAAACAAAGCAAAATATTCACTAAGATAACACCGAGGCAACAGTTCATCTGTGAAGACCAAGACCATAAGGATAGCCAGTATAAGCATGTAAGGGCAGAAACATATCTAAATTCTAGAATTTGGAACAGTATCTATTCTATCTTTTCAAGACATTTCTGTTCTCTTTTTTTTTTTTTTTGGGGGGGTGGGGGGCGGAGGGGTTTAGATTTCCATCAACTTGTTAGAAATGAGCAAAGAAACATGTCAACAGTCCAAGCATTTAGCATAGAATACCTTTATCTTTATTAACAAAATACAGAGGCTAATGAGACCTGTCAGTACTAACAGTCATAAAAAAGCACATAATATCTATAATTCCAAGCGTGACATATTGGTTTCATTCGTTCAACTACATCACATGAACCCACATGGAAAAAGTACTTTAGACCGCTCTTAAAATTCTGTGAACCAAAAAGTCCAAGAAAGCTTCCTTGCATCTCAAAAACGAACATATACTCCATCCACAAAACCCAACTGTGAAACAACTGTTTTACATCGGTTCAAGAAAAAAAGTTTCCAGACATTAACCCTGAGGCGTGCTTCTTTTCCCAACACCTATGACATGATACGCATGCCTCTTCAGATTGAATAGCTTTCTTGATCATTGCCCTAAATAGAGTCGTCCGGTTATATCTATTAAAGAGTATTCTAATATATTAGCCTTATTGGTAGTTTAGTTGTTTTCCTTTATTTATGTTGCCCACTTGCCCTACTATATAATGGCTTCTATTGTATATTCTAGGTTAATAATGTTGCACCCACTAATTGTGCCTTAATGATACTCTCTTCTTCTTTCTTCCTTTTCTCTTTTCTTCTCTTCTCTACAATTGATCAAAGTTAACATGGTATCAAAGGCTCACAGCTGTTTCGATTCTACTTATGATTAGCAACACAAAGAAGCAGCGTCTGTCTTAAAAACAAATGAAAACCAGCGGCTGACGTCATTTTCGTTGATGATGATGTCATGATGACATCATCAATTAGGAGCATCTGTCCACCTAGCTCGTTGACTTTCTATAGGCTTGAATTCTTATCTTTGATTTCATGATTGTTTAGTAGGGTTTTTAAATTTTAGTAGTATTTTTCAGATTTTTTGATAAATTCTTCAATATGTGGATGTTGCAAAGTTGCTTCGAACTTTTTGCTTCCAATCACTCCCAATAGAGGTGACTAGAGACTTTGTTTGATTAAGTGAAATATTTGAAGTAGTTTGGACAGATTTGAGTTGATTTTTGGCTAATTTCTTCCTTCAGCAAGCTTCTGCTCTTCAAGTCTTCTTCGGTTCTTCATTTGTTGTTCTTGTTGATTTACAGAGATTGGGTTCTGTTGTTCTGTTATTCAGCTGCTCTTCTACTTGTCTTCTTCCCGCTGATGCTTTAGGTGTGAAGCCCTAATCCTTTGGGTTTTTTGCTTTGGGCTCTTGGTGATTTAGGTTGTTGCTGGGTTGGGCTGTTACTATTTTGGGCTAAGAAGTACTGTCATGGGACACCGATACGACACGCAGACATGACATTTCTCAAAAAAGTGGCCACAGATATGTTAGAAATGCGCTACAAAAAATTATATTTTATATTTAACATTATATAATTTATTGTAAATACAATGATAATAATATGCAATTCATAAAAGATTCATGATATGTAAATCTAATGTGTAGTCATCTATGTGAACTTTTAGACTAAAACATCATCATAATAGTCCATAATCATCAATATTTTTAATAAATAATTTGTATCTAATATATAATTTAAATAATTACTCTCATTTTCTCAATTCCTTTTTTTTAAACGTATGCATCTTTTATTTTTATTATTATATTTGAAGTACAACTTTAATATTTTTAGTAATAGTAATTATATATTTTTAAAATTTTAAACTTTGTTAATCATATTTAGTAGTAGACACGTTCTAAACAAGTGTTGAATACTTATCCAAAATTAAAAATTTTTCATTTAATTATGGACACGGATGAAAAAGTATCGGACAAGTGTCCGAAGAGTGTCGGTGTCCGACATGGATACGTTACCTTCTCAAGAGTGTCCGTACTTCATAGGTTTTGGGCTAGTGCTGGTTTAGGCTTCTTTCTGTTGGGCTAGTGTTGACTTGCTGGTTTGATTTTATTTCTATTCTCTATTGGGTTTTGAATTTTGGGCTATTGGGCTTCTTATTTGTTGGTATTGGACTATTGTTCTATTGAGGACTTTTGTTTTTTGGATATTTTTAAGTTGTTAATTCCCTTTGTTGAAATTATGGCAAGTGGGAACTCGGATTCTCTTCAAGCCATCAATGTAAGATTAAATGGCAAAAATTATTCTTAGTAGGCATATGTTATGAAAAATTTTCTTATTGGGCAAGAAGATGTGGAGTTATATTAGTAGTGATATACAAGCTCCAACAGATACTACGACTGAGATGTTTGTTGACTTGAAAAACACTTGGGAAATTAGTAATGCCAAAATTATTACCTGAACTAACAATTCAGTTGATCAAACTAATAGTGTTCATCAAACTAAATTTAACACAACCAAGGAGGTATGGGATTATTTAACTACATTGTTTGTTAAGTTGCAAAGAGGTATTAACTTGAGTATACCAGAGTTCTACTCAGTTATGACAGGACATTGGGATCAGTTAGCACTTACTGAAATCGCAAAACTAACTGCCAATAAAGCATACCGCACTTTTAAAGAGGAGCAACGATTGATGCAATTTATGATGGCACTCAGATATGACTTCAAGAGACTTTGGTGTTCAATTCTACATCGTCATCCACTTTCCTCAATTAATATAGTGATCAATGAACTTCTGACTAAAGAAGTTCGTCTTAAGACTCTTTCTACAAAGAGTTTTCTTCCATTGCCTAATTTGACTGTATTAACTGTACCCAATAATCAAAATTTTGTTTTGGTGAGCTTAGAAATAAAAACGTTTTGGTAATATTTCAGAAACAAGATCGAAATAAAAAAAATTTGAAAATGTATTTTCAAAATATTAGTCGAGACATTGGTCGAACCATGTCAAAACACCTCGAAACCTAGTCGAAGTGCCTCGAAACATAAGAATTCTGATATTTAATCAATGAATCTTTCGGTCTCCATTTAAACAGAAATATTTCGAATGTTTCGACCGTTTTGAAACAAAATTTAGTTCCTTAACTATACCCCCAAAATGTCTTCTAATTCACAGAATAAGTATCGAGATTGAGCTGCTTCAAATAAGTGCAGTTTCTGCCGTAAGAACGGTCATTAGAAGGTCTAGTGCCCTAAATTGGTGAATAAAAATACTAGAGGTACCCAAAATCAGTCCTTTAAGCCCAAAGATTGTCATAGAGCAACAGTTGCACTACTGATGGATAAGTCATCCTTATCAGCACCCAGCTTGACTATGATTGTCAATTAATTACAGAAGCTACTCTTTCTCCATCAGCCTAGTGTTCTTACAGTCTTTCCCTCAATAGGTTAGTTCAACTCAGATCCTTCAAGTATATCTCGTACTCTTGGGTCTTTGATTCAGGTGTCATACATCACATAACTAGTGATTATTCCTTATTT